GCAAAACAGTCAAGGTTAGAACATTAACTGTGGCAAGAATAGCACCACATATCATTGATTAACACAGAGTTTCATGTGAGTGTATATGGAAGAATATGTGGATATATGCACACACATACATAATTGCATTTTGAATATGGAAGCGCTTGCATAAAACAGGTGGAGCGTTTTTCTTTCTGACAAGAGGGCTCACGTTCTTTGCCATCTTTTTTCTTTCTTTCTTTGCTTTTTTTTTTTACACATTAACATTTCAGACTGCTGAGTTACATTGATAAGGCCTAATTAAAACACAGGCATTGAATTCTAATTTGATTAACTTGCACATTTTTACCATTTTTTTCCTGATCTTCTGTTTCTAGATAACCTTTTTTAATTCTGGTTTCAGAAAAGGTCAATTATGAATTTTTTAAAAGCCAAGAGCATTTTAAGGATATGTAGAGGGAGGCTACAGCTGATTGAAAATGACATAAACAAGAAAAAATGTAATGGCACTTAAATATATGTCGCACCCCATTAAATGTGTCATGCAGTTCGGTAGAACCCCGGAGCCAAACAGTGTAGCAGCCTGGAAATCACTTTTGAAAGTACCCATTTGATCTTCAAAAGTAATTACTATAATTTTGCTGTTGCATGTTGCGACTTTTTTTGCTGGGTTCTTCAAAAAGTTGGGTGGAGATTAGAAACTGTGAGGGAAAGAATGGTGTCACCCCAGAGACAATGAAAGCCCATGATTCATCATTTTATGTTATATGGGAAAATGTCCCCATTTTTGTCTTATTTGAAATCTGTAAATGGTATGGTTGCGGGCAGTCATGGAAGTCTGTCAGAAAAGTAAAAAGAAGGAAGTTCTTGGCACAGGTGTCCCCAAACATTTGTCCTTCATACATATTGGACTTCAGCTTTCAGGATCTCTGACCATAGGTTATGGTGATTAGCACTTTTGGGGACCTGAAGTCCAAAACATCTGGAGAATCAAAGTTTAGGACCCAGTGTCCCAGCATATTAGTAGCACATCATAATTTTATCATGCTGTATCCTAGAACCCAGCCTGCTTTGTTTGGATAGTCAAACTGCGGTCCTGAGAACTAGCTACCACCTCAAGAATTCCTTTGCCTTGGCTGTTTCTTATAATCCACGGAAAACTTCCCATGCACTATTGGAACTGTTAAGTTATGCTAGTTTGCTATTTGCTACCTAAAAGAAAATCATTTGATGGCGACAGGAAAGAAGAGGATGACAAAGCTAGAGAAGAACAGAGCTCAGAGCTTCTTCTTCTTCTTCTTTTTCTTCTTCTTCTTCTTCTTCTTCTTCTTCTTGTCGTATCAGGGGTGACTTGAGAAACTGCAAGTTACTTCTGGTGTGAGAGAATTGGCCATCTGCAAGGACATTGCCCAGGGGACGACCAGATGATTTTGATGTTTTTATCATCCTTGTGGTAGGCTTATCTCATGCCCCGCATGAGGAGCTGGAGCTGATAGAGGGAGCTCATCCGCCTCTCCCCGGATTTGAACCTGCAACCTGTTGGTCTTCAGTCCTGCTGGCAAAGGGGTTTAACCTACTGTGCCACCGGGGACTCCTTAGCTCAGAGTTCAAATCTGAAAAGCTAGATTACTTTCAGAAGGATGGAGCCTAAAGTGGCAGAATGCTTTTGGTGTGCTTTTAAAAAGAAATGCTGGGACAATTAAGCCAGCTGTGCTGATTTACAGTTAGCACATCAACACCTATACAGTATTGTGTGATGCTCTTTGCTCTCTTGTTTCTTGAACTTCAGATTGCTCCTTGGCCTTGTCTACACTGGTAAGTTAATCCCCGGGCAGTCTGGATCAAAAATGTGCTGGACTGGTCCTGAAGCCAGCCACAAATACTATCTCAGATGCACCACAGTGATGGGTTGGGGTCTATAAGGTCCAATGGGTTGGAGTCCATAAGATCCAACCAGGCTGAAACCACAACAACCCTAAATATATCTATCCTTGTTGCTGCTCCAAGATGGCCACAGAACTCTGAGATAACTCCTGAACCTCACACATGCTCTGTATTGATGATGAAGAAGCAACAATAGACTGACAGGTGTGTGGAGAAGAGCTAGCAATTATGCACCAGTCCGCTTCACTGGCCCCCACAATAGTCAGGATCAGTCGCCTCAATCTTACTAGTTTAGGATATTGACTTCTTTGTGATATATGCTATGAATCAGATGACTGAGATTACTACCCGCCTTTAGTTTAATTCTCCAGAAAGAGTTTGCTAGTGCCTTTCTATGAGAGATCATGACTTGAACTGTTCAGAGAGGCTTTACTTTTGCCTTGCTCAAGATCATCCAGTGGGTTTCTGTGGCTGAGCAGGAATTCAAACACTGTTCTCCCGAAGCCCAAAGCACACTGGTTCTTATAGGTTTAGATACATGCAAAAGCTGTAGTTTTTCTCTGATGAAGTCCTCCTTTCCATCTCTTCCACCAGTGATCTGTTCCTCCAGAGTTATCCGTGAACCCCATCTTCATAGGCATTAGCTTCCACTGGAGATCAAATGCAGCTTTTCTTATTCATCACAGGTGTTTCATAGAACAAGGTCTGGCCATATAGTAATATTTCATTTCCAAACCAAGAGAATATGCTAGTGAAAGTTCTCTTTTCTTCACAGGAGGCTACCAAACATGTCAATGGAACATCATGTTATGTGTGAGTTTGCTACTCCATCTCAGGAAGTAGCCATGAGCAGAGATTACTCAGAGACATGGGAGATGTTTAGACCTTCTATTGATAGTTATTTCCTCTGAAATGAAACTCTCTCTGGAAACTTCACTTTTCCAATGATGAGACACTGTTGCTATTGTTCACTTATTTGTGTAAAAATGGTTTGGAATGAATTATAAATGGGTGAGTGGGTGACAAAGAGAGAGATAGGCAGCTTCTTCCTCTGTCTGAAGTCACCCACGGTTGCTTTTCATGACGAAATAAGTCCTCTGGAAAAAAAGTGTGGAACTATAAGCAAGATGCATTTGTGCATTCGTGTACAACTGGAGGGGGAATCATGTAGGTTTTCAGATGTTAAGACTGAAAGTCCCAGCAGCCCTTGTCAGAAAAGCCACTTGTGAGAATTGCATCATCTGGAGAGTCATATATTCCCACCTCTGGCATGTGCGTAGTTACTAGACATGTGTGCGAAACTCATTCTTACCATTTCTTCCATTTCTTTTGTGTCTTGCATTTATTCAGAAGCACAAAATGGGAAGCCCCCTTCCCACACAAAACCCATCTCAACCCAAAAGCCTACTTTCATGTGGAGCTGAAATTCTGTGTGTGCGCACTTCTTCTACCTCCCTCTCTCACGCCCACAATGCCCCGCTTTCACTCATGGGAGTCGTAGCCAGGCAGCCCCACATCCGGACCTGAGCATTAGGGCAGAAGGAACCACTGCCCCTCCCTCCTTTCTGGTCATGTGTGTGATGGGGTGTGTGACTGTGCAGGCACTCGCTGCAGACAGGCACTAAATTCTCATGGTGGTTCGCGAAAAGGCCTTACTGGTGCATTATTTAAACTGTTATGTTTATTCATATCATGATCTGATCACCATACTCAATATATCCCATATGCTTGGGGTATTGGGGTAATGATACAAAAGGTTTGCTAGGCTAGACCCTCTTTCACTCAGACTCAGCCCCCCCTGAACCCCTCCCCCCTGACCCTGAAAAAATTCACCCCCCCCCCCCTGAAATGAAATCGTGGCTACGGGCCTGACCGTGCTCTTACCTACAAGAAGCACTGCCTGAACATCAAGCAAAAAGTGGGTGCTAGAAACAATATCATACGAAAGCTGACTGGCACAACCTGGGGATCACAACCAGATACAGTGAAGACATCTGCCCTTGCGCTGTGCTACTCTTCTGCTGAGTATGCATGCCCAGTGTGGAACACATCTCACCACACTAAAACAGTGGATGTGGCTCTTAATGAGACATGCCGCATTATCACGGTGTCTGCGCCCTACACCACTGGAGAAATTACACTGCTTAGCCGGTATTGCACCACCTGACATCCACCGGGAAGTAGCAGCCAATAGTGAAAGGACCAAGGCAGAGACATCTCCATCCCTGGTATCAGCCAGCACGTCAACGACTTAAATCTAGAAATAGTTTTCTAAGATCTACAGAGACACTCGCTGGAACACCTCAGCAAGCGAGAGTCCAAAAGTGGCAGGCTCAAACCCAGAACCTCAACCACCTGTTAGTGCCTGTCTACAGCCCAGCATCTGCACAGTTACATGACCCACCACCCACATGCCCCATCACCCACCACATTCTCTGAGTGGAAAGGAGGAAGGAGCAGTGGTTCCTTCTGCCCTGATAAAGTATGCTTACTGGGGTCTGGAAATGCCCACACATACACATGCCTACCAGTGACTGCCAGGCAGCCGAGCACCTCAGGAAGAGGAGCCAATGGGTGGGAAACCCCCCCCCCCCAATAATGGAATGATTTTCGGGCTTGCAACGAAAGAATCAAAACCAACCCTCCCAATTTTGGGATGCTTACCGAAACTAAATCGGGCCCTGCAATGAAAGCCCAGAAACTAAACGGGACAAACGTTTACCTAAATGCATGCCATTAACAGTTACACAGATGTGTGTTTATGTGTACATGCATGCCACTCAGTTTATTTCTCCCAATATGAAATTACATAACTGGAAATGGATAGGGAGGTTAGTGTTTTCGGAAATGTCAGTGTTTTCAGAAATTTTGAAAATGAAATGCTCATATTTGGTCAAGAAGGGGAAATTCGCAAACAGTGGGGTATCTGCAACCATTGATTTATTCCGGGAATGATGTAAATTGCATAAACAAACTGTTCCATCCAGTCCTCAGCAGCTAATGACATCCATCTCTTCTGAGCTGGTTTGTCCAGTTACACAGAAGTGCTGGGGAAAGAGTTTTACTGCATTTATCCTTCTGAAGAAGTTGTTTAAATGAACAATACAATTGTGTGTATGTGTGTTTGAGTGCAGGCTATCATGGCTCAGCTGCCCCAGGAGGAGAAGGCTAAGATAGCAGAGCAAGTAGAGATATTCCACCAGGAAAAGAGCAAACTGGATGCTGAAGTAGCAAAGTGGGATGACAGCGGCAATGATATTATCGTCTTGGCCAAGCAGATGTGCATGATCATGATGGAGATGACAGACTTCACAAGGTATGTGTGTGTCATTCTCATCTTAAATGTGAAGGTTGTTAAGGAGGAAGCAAGTCATCCCTGAGACTAAAATAAGATATAAATGAAGCTGTATGCATCCACTATCATGGGCTAGAAAGATTCAGCCCAGATTTGCTTGGCATTTCTCTCTCTCTATAGCAGTGTTTCTCAACCTGGGGGTCGGGACCCCTGAGGGGGTCATGAGAGGGGTGTCAGAGGGGTCACCAAAGACCATCACAAAACAAGGATTTTCTGTTGGTCATAGGGGTGTGGGAAGTTTGTCCCAATTCTATCATTGGTGGGGTTCAGAATGCTCTTTGATTGTAGGTGAACTGTAAATCTGAGCAACTGCAACATCCAAATGTCAAGGTCTATTTTGCGCAAACTCCATCTGTGTTCATATTTGGGCATATTGAGTATTCATGCCACATTTGGTCTAGATCCATCATTGTTTGAGTCCACAGTGCTCTCTGGATGTAGGTGAACGACAACTCCAAAACTCAAGGTCAATGCCCACCAAACCCAGCCTGTATTTTCTGTTGGTCATGGGGGTCCTGTGTGGGAAGTTTGGTTCAATTCCATCATTGGTGGAGTTCAGAATGCTCTTTGATTGTAGGTGAACTATAAATCTCAGCACCTACCGCTCTCAAATGACAAAATCAACCCCTCCTTACAACCCCACCAGTATTCAAATTTGGGCGTATTGGGTATTTGTGCCAATTTGGTCCAGCGAATGAAAATGCATCCTGCATATCAAATATTTACATTATGATGCACAACAGTAGAAAAATTACAGTTATGAAGTAGCAACAAAAATAATTTTATAGCTGGGGTTCACCACAACATGAGGAACTGTATTAAGGGGTCACAGCATTAGGAAGGTTGAGAACCACAGCTCTATAGTCTCTATTTTGCCAGTTCAAGAAGATGCCCAGGAGGGAGAGGGGTATGTTGTTAGAAGGTTAGTTGAAGATGCAAGCCTTGCCCTAGTCCACAAAGGAGAAAAAGCTTCTCTTTGTGGACAAGAGAGCACTCTCTTTTTTTCATGGTTCATTTTGGAAAAGATTCCATAACACTAGTTTTGCCACATTTCTTTTTTAGTTTAGTTAAAGATCATGGGGTTTAAGTTCCACCTCCATGACTACTGTTTCATTAAGAGCTGTTCAGCAGTGGAACTCTCTGCCCCGGAGTGTGGTGGAGGCTCTTTCTTTGGAAGCTTTTAAACAGAGGCTGGATGGCCATCCGTCAGGGGTGATTTGAATGCAATATTCCTGTTTCTTGGCAGGGGGTTGGACTGGATGGCCCATGAGGTCTCTTCCAACTCTTTGATTCTATAAATCTATTATTCTATGAAACAATTCTCTCCTTGGCATTTCTGTGCTTGGGAGGCCTGAATTGGAAAAAACCACTAGCACCATCCAATCCAACCTCCTGCGTCGCAGGGATTTTGAAAAGTAAATAGAATTTTCAGATATATAAAAGATGCAGACTCGGTTGCTTTGTTATTCATTCCCTGTACAAGACCACAGTATGAGTGTTCTGGTCTTCTCAGATACACACTATTGTGGGTCTTTGGTATCTCCTAGGATTTGGTTTCAGGGCTTGATGTAGATATGAAAGTCCATGGAACCTCAAGTCCCATTATATGCAATGGAATAGTAAAATGTATTTATTTATTTACCCTATTTATTATCTGCCTTTCCCTATCCCAAGAAGGACTCAAGGCGGCTTAGAATCATAGAATCATAGAATCAAAGAGTTGGAAGAGACCTCATGGGCCATCGAGTCCAACCCCCTGCCAAGAAGCAGGAATATTGCATTCAAATCACCCCTGACAGATGGCCATCCAGCCTCTGTTTAAAAGCTGGAGTGTGGTGAAGGAGCCTCCACCACACTCCAAGGCAGAGAGTTCCACTGCTGAACGGCTCTCACAGTCAGGAAGTTCTTCCTCATGTTCAGATGGAATCTCCTTTCTTGTAGTTTGAAGCCATTGTTTCACGTCCTAGTCTCCAGGGAAGCAGAAAACAAGCTTGCTCCCTCCTCCCTGTGGCTTCCTCTCACATTTATACATGGCTATCATATCTCCTCTCAGCCTTCTCTTCTTCAGGCTAAACATGCCCAGCTCCTTAAGCCGCTCCTCATAGGGCTTGTTCTCCAGACCCTTGATCATTTTAGTCGCCCTCCTCTGGACACATTCCAGCTTCTCAATATCTCTCTTGAATTGTGGTGCCCAGAATTGGACACAATATTCCAGGTGTGGTCTAACCAAAGCAGAATAGAGGGGTAGCATGACTTCCCTAGATCTAGACACTAGGCTCCTATTGATGCAGGCCAAAATCCCATTGGCTTTTTTTGCCGCCACATCACATTGTTGGCTCATGTTTAACTTGTTGTCCACGAGGACTCCAAGGTCTTTTTCACACGTATTGCTCTCGAGCCAGGCATCGTCCCCCATTCTGTATCTTTGCATTTCGTTTTTCCTGCCTAAGTGGAGTATCTTGCATTTGTCCCTGTTGAACTTCATTTTGTTAGTTTTGGCCCATCTCTCTAATCTGTCAGGTCTGAGACCGTTCCATAGTCATTGCACATATTCCAGTTATATTATTATTGCACTGCTTCTCCAAGAGCCAGGTGTTTACTCTCCTTCTGAAGGGAAGGAGGAAGGGGGCTGATTTAATGTAATATCACTAGGGAGGAAGTTCCACAGCTGAGGGGCCACCACTGAGAAGGCCCTGACTCTCATCTTCACCAATTGTGCTTGCGAAAAAGATAGGATCGAGAGTGGGGCCTCCCCAGAAGATCTTAGTCTCCGAGGTAGTTCAAAATGGCATCCCTTTTATCAAGCAGCAAAATTAAGATTTCGTTTTTGAAATTCTTTTTTTTTAAATATTTTCAAACAGTGGTTAGTTGAATCCACAGGTTTAAAAATCTGTGGATATGGAAGGTCAGCTATATCTCATTAATATGGAAATGGCTAACATGTGTCAGGTTTAAATACCTGTTAATACCCATCACATTCCACACACAACAATCCAAATTCTCAAAAAGAGCTTGGAAAAGTTACGTGAGGGAAGGTCTGTGTCCTATAATCCACCAGCCAGCATGGCTTTCTGCAAAACAAAACAAACAACAAAAAAGCAACTCCCCTAAAACACTCCCTTTATGTAGAAAACTGGCTGCCAGGACCATAGCATAGCTTTCTTCTGGGAATGTTTTTATTATTATTCTACTGTTCAGTGATATTTTATTTCATATGGAGTAGCATTTGTTCATGTGAGCCCCAAGCTATAGGCTGAAGTAATGAAGATACAGGATTCTCATCTCACAGATAACTATATTTGCTGCAAGACAGACACAAGATTCCATCTCAGAGATATCTGAACAGCTACGGTGTTGGTGATACAAAGGAAGTACCCAACTTTACATTACATGGAATGGTGTTTACATAGCTTTTTTGAGACCCCTTCCACACAGCTGTGTAAAATCCACATTGTACTGGATTATATGGTAGTGTGGACTCAGAGCCCTTCCACACAGCCCTATATCCCAGAATATTAAGGCAGAAAATCCCACAATATTTGCTTTGAGCTGGGTTATCTGAGTCCACACTCCAATAATGAAGCAGAGAGTGTTTGAGGACTGGGACATCTGTAGGGATACCAAGGTGCTTGTCTATAAAGCTATTGTCCTCCCAACCCTGCTCTATGCCTGCGAAATGTGGACTGTCTACAGACGTCACATGCAACTCCTGGAACGATTCCATCAGCGCTGCCTCCGGAAAATCCTGCAAATATCTTGGGAAGACAAGCGGACAAACGTCAGCGTGCTGGAAGAAGCAAAGACCACCAGCATTGAAGCGATGGTCCTCCGCCATCAACTCCGCTGGGCCGGCCACATTGTCCGGATGCCTGATCACGGTCTCCCAAAGCAGTTGCTCTACTCCGAACTCAAGAATGGAGAACGGAATGTTGGTGGGCAGGAAAAGAGATTTAAAGATGGGCTCAAAGCCAACCTTAAAAACTCTAGCATAGACACTGAGAACTGGGAAGCCCTGGCCCTTAACCGCTCCAGCTGGAGGTCAGCTGTGACCAGCAGTGCTGCAGAATTCGAGGAGGCACGAGTGGAGGGTGAAAGAGAGAAACGTGCCAGGAGGAAGGCGCGTCAAGCCAACCCCGACCGGGACCGCCTTCCATCTGGAAGCCAATGCCTTCATTGTGGGAGAAGATGCGGGTCAAGAATAGGGCTCCACAGCCACCTACAAACCCACAAAAATAGTCATCAAGGAAGACCATTTTACTCGTCCAACGAGGGATCGCCTAAGAAGAAGAAGAAGAAGAAGAAGAAGAAGAAGAAGAAGAAGAAGAAGGAGAAGAATGTGGGATGTTCTGGCTTGATATCCTGGAATATAGGGCTATGTGGAGGGGCCTTCCAATAACCCAGTTCAAACAGACATTGTGGATTATCTGTCTTTATATTCTGGGTTATAAGGCTGTGTGGACAGGCTCTTAATCATGTTCTTTTTAAAACAGAGCAGGCTTTGCATCTCATTGGCCAGAAGCAGTGGCGGCATGGATGGGTGAAGCTCTTCGTCCTCATCTTTCCAACTCTGTTTCTCCTCAAAAGTTTTTCCTCGCATGACATTATTATTGTATTGTTGAGGAGAGCTACAGGATTTTCCATGAAGACAAGTGTAGTGGGTGGTTTGAATGTGTGTAGGAGAAGAAGGACTGAAAAGAAGCAAAAAGCTAAGCCGCCCTCCCTATCCCTTTTATTCCTTGGCTGAACTGGAAGCCTTGCACACTTCTTTGACTTAAAAAAGAAAATACTTTGAACATGAAAAAGGAGCTTTTCCTGTTAGGCAGGTATGCTATCTGCAGAGCCTAAATTCCATATCCATGTGATTAGTCTCCAAAAGCACCTGTATTTCTGTGCTCGTTATTATAATGAACTTTAAATGAGCCCCCAAGGGTTCTTATTCTATTTGTGTCTGTTCCATTACTCTGGTCATTATGTGATCTGAAAAAAGCAGCTCCCCCAAGTGCATCTGAATGCATAACTGCTTTCTATTTCACCACTTAATCTCAAATTATGTCTATACATCACCTGTTTTTGCCATGACACACCCTCTGTTCTGTGCTGAAAGCTATTTGCCCCCAATTTTGTTTGGGAATTTTTGCATTACCAATGCTATGGGAATAACTCAGGGTTAGCAGTAGTGAGGGAGGAGAAAGAAAGAAAAGTTTTGCATTGCTTCTGAGACACATTCTTAATGAGCGTTTTAAAATGCACATACTGTTGAACCTGGTTCATGGGCTTAGAGGCAAAATCTAAGTGCTGGCAACACATTTTGGAGCATTGATGTAGGCATGTTGTGTTTTCCAGGGGTAAAGGCCCATTAAAGAATACATCCGATGTCATTAACGCTGCCAAGAAAATTGCAGAAGCAGGCTCACGAATGGACAAATTGGCCCGTGCCGTGGCTGATCAGGTAATTCTATCCATTCTCTTGAAACTATGGGGTATGCCTACACTGTAGAATGAAAGCAGTTTGATATCACTCTAACTGCCATGGCTCAATGGTATGGAATCCTGGGAATTGTAGGTTTGAGAGGTACCAGCATTCTTATAAAATTACAACTTTTTCATTGAGCCATGACAGTTGAAATGGTGTCAAACCATATTGATACTACAGCGTAGATACAATGAAAAATAAGCCCTGGTACCAAGTTCCATAGTGTCATTTCCACTTCCTTATACATTCTCAAAGTCAAAGTGAAAAGGTAAAGGTAAAGGTTTTCCCTTGCCATGAAGTCTAGTTGTGCCCGTCTCTGGGGGGTGGTGCTCATCTCCATTCTAAGATGCGGCATTGTCTGTAGACACCTCCAAGTTCATGTGGCCAGCATGACTGCATGGAGCACCGTTATCTTCCCACCGGAGCGATACATATTGATCAATTCACATTTGCATATTTTTGAACTGCTAGGTTGGCAGAAGCTGGAGCTCCCAGTGGCACAGCAGATGAAATCACTGAGCTGTTGAACTTGCTGACCAAAAAATTGGCGGTTCAAATCCAGGAAGTGGGAGCTCACCCCACTCCTTGGATTTGAACTGCCAATCTTTCGGTCAGCAAGTTCAGCAGCTCAGCGGTTTAACCCGCTGCACCACTAGGTCTCCTCAGTCAACGTTATCTTCTTGAAATACAGAAATTTGTAACTGGGGTTCTTCAAGTAATTCGTGTCATTTCCAAGAACCCTAAATAAAATTCAAACCAGGGTTTTCGTGGCAAGATATCTTGCTGGGAGGCTGAGAAATTATGACTCACCCATGCTCACCCAGTGGGATTCCATGGATGAGCAGCAGATTCAAGTGGGTGTTGTACTGTTTCAAATTGTACTGTTCAACTATTTTTTTTTTAAAAAAAACTTTTAAGTATATATTTTAAATTGTTTTAACATGGATAAAAGTTTAATTCTGTTTTAATTAGTTTAACTTTCTATTTCAATTATATTGCAATTGTAATTTGCAAGCTGCCCTGGGATCTAACTTTCCTTGTTGGAGGAAAGTTCTGGTGTTGGAGGAAAGTTCTGAGAGTGCCTTGGACTGCGAGAAGATCCAACCAGTCCATCCTCCAGGAAATAAAGCCCGACTGCTCACTGGAGGGAAGGATACTAGAGACAAAGTTGAAGTACTTTGGCCACATCATGAGGAGACAGCAAAGCCTAGAGAAGACAATGATGCTGGGAAAAGTAGAAGGAAAAAGGAAGAGGGGCCGACCAAGGGCAAGATGGATGGATGGCATCCTTGAAGTGACTGGACTGACCTTGAAGGAGCTGGGGGTGGTGACGGCCGACAGGGAGCTTTGGCGTGGGCTGGTCCATGAGGTCACGAAGAGTCGGAGACGACTGAACGAATGAACAACAACAACTGGGATCTAATCTTAGGGAAAATAAGGAATATAAATAGATGATGGTGATGGCAACAATCCCCACCGCCCATCTCTCCCAGAGTCCTAGGACCTCTAGTCTGACACTCAAACCACCGTGATTGCTCACAATTGGGGTACACAATTGTTTTTATCCCAACACTTCATACTCATCAGTGGCTAAATAAGACTGCACATACAGGCTCATTTGTTTGTTTAATGTATTTAGAATATTTATACCCTACCCTTGGTAAGAGGGATGAAGGAAGAGCTTCTCATCTGCTTCTGAACCTAGGCACAATGGTGCTGTGTCTGCCCCTTCTTCTCCCCCTCTGCCCCAGGTCAGTGGCAATTGGGATGGAGGAAGGGAATTGCAACTGTTTCTGTGTCTAGGCATAATGAAACTGTGTCTTACTATTCTTCTCATCCTCAGAGAGCCAGGACAGTAGCAGTTGGGATGGAGAGAAGCTGTTTCATATGCTTCTGGGTCAGGTCACAGAGGAGCTGTGACTGCCTCACCTCTCCTTTAAGGATAAGGCAGTGCCAGTTGGATTACAGGGAGGTCCTTGTGTCATGCATACAAAGACATTAATATGCATGCCCACACTTCCTTCATGACACCTATACTTCCACATAGAATCATAGAATCCAAGAGTTGGAAGAGACCTCATGGGCCATCCAGTCCAATCCCCTGCCAAGAAGCAGGAATATTGCATTCAAATCACCCCAGACAGATGGCCATCCAGCCTCTGTTTAAAAGCTTCCAAAGAAGGAGCCTCCACCACACTCCGGGGCAGAGAGTTCCACTGCTGAACGGCTCTCACAGTCTGAAAGTTCTTCCTCATGTTCAGATGGAATGTGTTGAGATGTGCATGCCCCCACATCTCAACACATATGTACATCACACTCCTCACAAGCACATTCAGTGAGCTCCCTTCCCCAGAACTGTCCGGTGAACTTGCCCTTAACCTGACTCTACTAGCCACAGATAATAAATGTTTTCAGAATCCACAGAAGAGAGCCCTCTCAGCTGACAACAGCCCAGTCAAAGGCGAAAGTTGGTAAGATCCTGCTAGCTTTGGCAGTCACGCTGGAAGCAGCAAGGACCCAATATGACCCCAGGGCCAAAGTTTGTGCACTTCCAATGTAAAGTTCAGCATCACTGCTGTGTAAGGCTAGCCAAAGTACAACCATGAATGTACTTCACTCATAAGATTCCAGCCTTACTGTTTTCCATCTTCATAGGCATGCTAACATTTGATATTTAACCATAACTTGAGCCATAACCCACTGTCCTCCACATTCAGGATTAATCTGCTTTAATGCAAATCTGACCACATGGGGCACATTTGTAAGAAACCTTCACAGTGGGAAAATGATAATGTCAACAAATGTCACAACAGAGAAGAGGCACAGGTGCTCAAAATCTCCTCCTGCATGTCAAACACAGCTCTGTTTCAGGGTCACATTCTATAAACATGATAGCACTGTTTAACTGTAGCGTATTATCCAGCACATTGTGTTATACTATTTTATTTGTTCTCAATGAAGAGCTGCACTTGGAATGCCTAGGGCAAAGGAACCACAGCACCTGCACCTTTGTCGTTCTGTGGTAATCCTTATTGCTGCAGAGATAATCCTTCTGGTTCTGTTGTTTCCACATAATTGACCACCTACCATGTTTATTCTCCAGTTTTCCACTAAAGGTATAGATTCTGCCTGCTGTGTAACTTCTGAACTGCTTAAAATTATCCACCTTTTTTTCTCCTGCTGTATATGAGGCCCTCCAGAGAAATCATCTTTCAGTTCAGGAAAGCAGCAAACTATAAGGAGCAGAGTCCAAACTATGTCAAAGGGTTGTGGTTGTTGTTCATTCGTTCAGTTGTCTCAGACTCTTCGTGACCTCATGGACCAGCCCATGCCAGAGCTCCCTGTCGGCCGTCACCACCCCCAGCTCCTTCAAGGTCAGTCCAGTCACTTCAAGGATGCCATCCATCCATCTTGCCCTTGGTTGCCCCCTCTTCCTTTTACCTTCCACTTTCCCCAGCATAATTGTCTTCTCTAGGCTTTGCTGTCTCCTCATGTCAAAGAGTTAGGTCTGGCTAATAATGGGGGTCATCATGAACTCACATAATGGAGCCTCAATTCCTCTTACCATTGTTCCTACCCTGTCCCAAAAAAGTGTTGTAAAGGAATTGAAAGCCTATATATACCTCTATCTATGTACAGTTTTCTGCCTTGTCAGTGTATAACGGCATTGAATGGTTGCCGTATAGGTGTTCTGTGATCCGCTCTGAATCTCCGTCATGGTGAAAAGAGTGGAATATAAATACTGTAAATAAATAAATAAGTGTTTAAAAAGGACTGTTGACAGTAGTGGACATAGCACATTTTTCAAAATAGTTAGAATCACAAACCTCATAATATGCATGGCATAAATCCAGTTGGTAGATACTTAGTTGTACATACAGCCCATTGAATCAATGTATTGACTCTATTATTATTATTATTATTATTATTATTATTATTATCAAACAATACAACAATAAAACATAGCAACAGTAATACAACAATAAATAAACTCATAAACAGAAAATAGCAATAAACATTAACAATAAAACAACGATGTTTAAAAACCTATGGCAGGGCCAGATGTACTAATTAATTTTTTTTTAAAATAATGCTGGGTGTGATCAGGTGACATATAAACAGGATAGAAATTTTGGAGAGGGATAGGGCATGCAGACAATCCTAAATCACTACTAAAATGTGTTAAGGGACATATTGCTGGGAGTTTCTTTAATCTGGGAAGGCACACTGGAACAACCACGTTTTCAGGCTCCTCCTAAAGGCTGCCGACGTTGGAGCATGTCTGATGTCCCTGGGGAGTGAGTTCCAGAGTTGAGGGGCCACCACCGAGAAGGCCCTCTCCCTTGTCCCCACCAATCGCGCTTGCAATGGAGGCAGGAGCGCAAGCAGGGCCTCTCCAGATGACCGAAGAGATCACGTGGGTTTGTATACAGTGATGCGGTCACACAGGTAGGCGGGTCCCAAACCATTTAGGGCTTTGTAGGTAAGCACCTGCACCTTGAATAGGGACCGGAAAATGAACGGCAGCCAATGGAGCTCCTTAAACAGGAGAGTTGACCGCTCCCTGTAAGGAGCACCAGTTAACAATCTAGCCGCCACTCGTTGAACCAATTGAAATTTCCGGGTCGTTGCTGGGGTAAGTGACTGGATTTTGGCTTATGCCTTGTAGCGGGAGCCAAAATGGTTTAGTGGTTTCAATGATGATTGGGAGAATAGGGATCAAATCCCTCTTGGCCATGGAAGCTCACCAGGTGACCTTGGTCTAATCATGCACTCTCAAACAAAGAGGAAGGCAATGATATATTTCCACTCAATATGTATTACTGAGAAAATCCAGAATTTGGTGTGCCTTAGGGTTTCCAAATAAAACAAAATGACTTCCAGACCACACCTGGAATATTGTGTCCAATTCTGGGCACCACAATTCAAGAGAGATATTGACAAGCTGGAATGTGTCCAGAGGAGGGCGACTAAAATGATCAAGGGTCTGGAGAACAAGCCCTATGAGGAACGGATTAAGGAGCTGGGTATGTTTAGCCTGAAGAAGAGAAGGCTGAGAGGAGACATGATAGCCATGTATAAATATGTGAGAGGAAGCCACAGGGAGGAGGGAGCAAGCTTGTTTTCTGCTTCCCTGGAGACTAGGACGTGGAACAATGGCTTCAAACTACAAGAGAGGAGATTCCATCTGAACATGAGGAAGAACTTCCTGACTGTGAGAGACATTCAGCAGTGGAATTCTCTGCCTTGGAGTGTTGTGGATGCGCCTTCTTTGGAGGCTTTTGAACAGAGGCTGGATGGCCATCTGTCAGGGGTGATTTGAATGCAATATTCCTGCTTCTTGGCAAGGGGTTGGACTGGATGGCCCATGAGGTCTCTTCCAACTCTTTGATTCTATGATTCTATGAAGGCGCACAAGAACCGTAACCTAAACTCAAGACCTCTGTCATTGATGCAGATCCTCCAGTCAAACGTGCTTTGCCATTTTTCTCTTTCACAAAGATATATCCTGCATAAGTGGTCAGTTAGGGGGAAAATGTTGCAGAGAGCTTCCTGGGGTGCTTCAAAATAAATGTCCAAAGAACCCAGAAGCAGAGTTTCCACAAGTTCTCAGGCATAGCATAGAACAACTAAGCTAATTACCCATCAAATTATGAAAGGTTTACCCATCAGCACTTGTGAGTGATCTAGAAAGAAATCAGAGTAGCTCTTGGACAGAAATGGGGATACAGATGAGGACTATTGGAGGCATGACTATTTTAAAAAAAAACCAGCAGTTATTTACCCTCCTTTAAATTCTCAAATATGAGGGCATTTTTTTAAAAAAAAGTTTTGAGAGCTCCATGCAATGTGAAGTTTTTATGAACTATTGCATTTTTAATTACTGTTCCAAAGAGAGGGATCTCACAATTCTTAATTTGCTGCAAAGAACTTCTATTTAAACTCTTTGCAAGCTCTCCAGGGAGTTTGTTTTAAGGTTTCTCTGAGATATAAGGCCTCCAGAGCAGAATAAATATAATGGTGGTAAATGGCTGCTAAGTGGGGAAATGCCTCTTTGGGATTTGCACTTGAAAGATTGTGGCAACTTCTTGGGGGAAGAGCGGGAGAGATTGATTCCATGACATTATCTTATCCCCAGGAGAAGAGATTAGTCTTAACTTCCCTAGAGAATTTTCACAGCACTGACTTTATTGACTTAGAGGAGAAAATAAGCTATATAATTACTGTTAGGATGTCTAGATTTCCCCATACTGTAAATTGCCCTTATTGCTAGAAATATTTGAGCATTTCAGCATAGAGTTGGAAAAGGTTGATGGGGTCATCCTGTCCAACCTGTGACTGAGGAATCCAAAACTAAGACCTGATTTACACTGCCATATAACTTTATTATGAAATTGTATTATGAAATTGCATTATATGAAAGGAAGAATGGCCTGCCTCAGGGAAACGTGCTTGCCCCATCCATGTTCAACATCTACACAAATGACCAGTCACTGCCAGAAGGGACAGAGAGGTTCATCTATGCTGATGATCGTGCCATCACTGCAGGGGGGCTTTGAGATGGTTGAACAGAAGCTCTCCGAACCTCTAGGTGCTCTTACTGCCTATTACAGGGAAAACCAGCTGATCCCTAATCCATCTAAAACACAGACATGTGCTTTTCATCTCAAGAACAGACAAGCATCCCGAGCTCTGAGGATCACCTGGGAAGGAATCCCACTGGAGCATTGCAGCGCACCCAAATACCTGGGAGTCACTCTGGACTGTGCTCTTACCTACAAGAAGCACTGCCTGAACATCAAGCAAAAAGTGGGTGCTAGAAACAATATCATACGAAAGCTGACTGGCACAACCTGGGGATCACAACCAGACACAGTGAAGACATCTGCCCTTGCACTATGCTACTCTGCTGCTGAGTATGCATGCCCGGTGTGGAACACATCTCATCAGGCTAAAACAGTGGATGTGGCTCTTAAGTCTGTTCACGGGAAGCAGGTGAACATAGCAATGAATGAAACATGCAGAATAATCGCAGGATGTCTCCAACCTAAACCTGTTGATAAACTGTACAAGCTAGCTGGCATTCCCCCCCCCCCCCCCCGATGTGTGACAGGAAGTTTCTGCTAACTGTGAGAGAAATAAGGTTGAACATTGAAAGCAACTCACAGCATGGCTATGAGCCTCCTCCCAGAAGACTCAAATCAGGGAAGAGCTTTATGAGAACCACCACTCCTCTTAATGTTTCCCCAGCAACAGCAAGGGTATCCCTCTGGGCAACTAAACCAGGAAATCCCAACTGGATGGCCCCCCACGAGGGTCTTCTTCCAGGGACAAACCAAAAATGACCAACTTGGAAGTCACTGAACAGACTCAGAAGTGGAGTGAGCAGATCAAAAGACAACCTGGCAAAATGGCACTACCTAAAAGAATCCCACCCCTTGTGCGACTGTGGAACAAAACAAACAACTTTGTACCTGTAGGCTTGTCCACAATGCCCTGCCTCATGGACAGAGGAAGAACTGTTTAAAGCTACAGACAATGTGGACGCTGCTGCCCGGGATTGGTCAAAAATTATTTAGCGGCTTGTGCTCCTTCTATTTTTATCAGTATTTATGCAATATATTGTCGAAGGCTTTCATGGCTGGAATCACTAGGTTCTTGTGGGTTTTTTGGGCTATATGGCCATGTTCTAGAGGAATTTTCTCCTGACATTTCACCTGCATCTACGGCAAGCATCCTCAGGGGTAGTGAGGTCTGTTGGAATTTCTCTGGTTGAAGTAGTCTGCAGTGCCTTTCATGTTCCAGGAGTCTACCGTATACCATGCAGCTGTGGACAAGTCTACATAGGGACCACCAAATGCAGCATTGCCCAAACACGAATCAAGGAACATGAAATGCACTGCAGACTACTTCAACCAGAGAAGTCAGCCATAGCAGAGCACCTGATGAACCAACCTGGACACAGCATATTATTCGAGAACACAGAAATGCTGGACCACTCTCACAACCACCATGTGAGACTACACAGGGAAGCCATTGAAATCCACAAGCATGTGGACAATTTCAACAGAAAGGAGGAAACCATGAAAATGAACAAAATCTGGCTACCAGTATTAAAAAACTCTAAAAGTACCACAGCAAAACAGCAAAGAGGAAACAACCAGGCACATCTTAACACCTCTGAACAAAAGATTCCCCCAGGCTCAGTCAGGCCTTTAAATGCTAATGAAGGTGGTCAGTTGAAACATTCCACACCTAGCTCCAATAGACAGGAGTTCTGTGCCCCACCCTGGTCATTCCACAGATATATAAACCCATTTTCCTAATTCCAACAGACCTCACTACCTCTGAGGATGCTTGCCATAGATGCAGGCAAAACGTCAGGAGAAAATGCCTCTAGAACATGGCCAGATAGCCCAAAAAAACCCCCACAAGAACCTATTTATGCAATACTTTTGATTATTTATGCAATACTTTTGACCAAAAATAAATAAACTGGGTTGTTGAAGGTTTTTTCACGCTATATGGCCATGTTCTAGAGGCATTCTCTCCTGACGTTTCGCCTGCATCTATGGCAAGCATCCTCAGAGGTAGTGAGGTGAAGATGCTTGCCATAGATGCAGGCGAAACATCAGGAGAGAATGCCTCTAGAACATGGCCATATAGCCCAAAAAAACCTACAACAACCCAGATTCCAGCCATGAAAGCCTTCAACAATACAATAAATAAACCCTTAAATGCGGTCCTTCCTGTATTATAAATAACATGTTTTATAAACATATATAATTTTTATTGATAAAATATATGAAATAGTGAGAGTTATAGCAATAGCAATAGAGTAGGGACTTAAAAACCCCCTCTTATATTAAATAAGACATTTTGTGCATCAGCAGAACCTTATTATTATTGCAAACTGAGCCCTGTCCTAAGGAAACAGTTCCAGAGATGACTCTATCTGCTTCACAGCTCATCAGGTAACTGACAAACAATACTGGTGGTGTTTTTTCCTTTAAGCCTTTGGGTGCCTTTGTACTTTAATTCACAACCTTGAGTTATGAGAGATCGCTGCCCATTGTTAAATACCATTTAGCCAAAAGGTTAAGCCAGACAAATGCTTCTAATATGATGTTGGCAACTCTGTATGCTCGTCTCTGTATACTAAGCAAAGGAAATCAAATGTGTTCCATTTATCTCTCATTTTATTTTCAGTGCCCTGATTCGGCCTGTAAGCAAGATCTGTTAGCATACCTCCAGCGCATTGCCTTGTATTGTCACCAGCTCAATATCTGTAGCAAGGTGAAGGCAGAAGTCCAGAACTTGGGAGGAGAACTTATCGTATCTGGGGTAAGTTAACGTCCATATTGTACTGTTTGCCTGTCTTGGTTATTATATTTTTAGAATATTCCATTAAAATGTTCTTTTTTCCCAGTTGAGGTAGCTGACAAAGTAAAACTAGTCTTAATCAAAAGTTTTGTTCTTTAAAAGGATCACCGTTGTTAGTCCAGAATTATGACCCTAATAATTTACTTATTAACATTTTATTAAATTGCTATTAAATACTATTAAACAACAGTTGATTATAATAACCAGTTATTAGCTATTGCTTTATACTTACCAAAGAGTGAAGGCCAAATGGTTCTTCCTCCTCTAAAAACAGAGAGAGTTGAAAATCTCTTTATTGTGAAGAGACAGAGAAAGTTAGACTTTGAATTTTGGAAGTTAAACTCCCAGAATCTCTAGCCACCTATCTTTATGTATTTTAGATATCTTAGTTAATTTAGTTTTTTATGCAACCCCTCCCAGAAGTAACTAAGAGATTTAAGATTGTTTCAGGCAGAACCTTACCCCTATTATTTGTATTTTCCATCCCCAAGATGGAGAATACAAAGTATTGTTGAAGGCTTTCATGGCCGGAATCACTGGGTTGTTGTAGGTTTTTTTGGGCTGTATGGCCATGGTCTAGAGGCATTCTCTCCTGACGTTTTGCCTGCATCTATGGCAAGCATCCTCAGAGGTAGTACCTCTGAGGATGCTTGCCATAGATGCAGGCAAAACGTCAGGAGAGAATGCCTCTAGACCATGGCCATACAGCCCAAAAAAACCTACAACAACCCAGAGAATGCAAATCTCTTGAAACACTTCTAAATCAGAGATAACTTCAGCAAATTCTAGGATGGTTTATGCACAACATCTAGCCACTCAGATTTTGCACTAGAGAGAGCCACTGGGTAGAAAACCAAAAAAAGAGGCTCTTATTCTGGGACCACCTGGGGTTTGCCACTTGTGCAATTCCTTTATTATTATTCCCACCCCACCAGATCTTCACTCTTTCCACTTCACCTGGTAAAATGTAGTCCTGCTTTCAAAACAAATTTTTGTCATTTACAAGGAAGCCCCTGCCGAGCCATGAATATTATAATTATTTGGAGCTTTTTAATATGACGGCTCCAGGTAAATCCACTCTCAGCAATTTCCCTCCAGTGAGCATAAAATTGTGAGCTTAGTGCCATATCTGAAGAGTCAGTGTGGTTTTCAGCTAGGGTGGATCATGCATTCAAACTGGGCTGAGCAAAAGTCAGAAAACTCACAAAACAAATGGTTTTCATAAAAAAAAAATAGGGCAGGGAGAAGGAATAGTTGTGAAACATTCATCAAATGTTCTCCTACTTCCGTAAATAATTTGTTCCCCAACACAAGACACAACCCACCCTCAGTGGATGCCATGAGCATTGGATCTACTGAGATCCTCTCAGCCTCAATCCAGCTGTCTGGGAGCCATTTTTCTGTAAATGGAACCCATGTGAATGTAGTCCATTTAAATAATATTATTATATGAGTAAGGGTCAGTCAGGAGTAATAAGGTTTACATCAGTGGTTCTCAATCTGGGGTCCCCAGATGTTTTTGGCCCACAACTCCCAGAAATCCCAGCCAGTTTACCAGCTGTTAGGATTTCTGGGAGCTGAAGGCTAAAAACATCTGGGGACCCCAGGTTGAGAACCACTGGTTTACATTATCCAGAGGCCATAAATGCCATTCCTGAAGGTCTGCCATAGTTTAGCATGGTCAAGAAATCAACCTAGGAAGGAGCCATTTAAAATGGATTACAGTTCATTATCAGATCCTGGAAGCAGATTTAGCCCTCATTCTATTAATGTATTAAGTTATAGTACTTACTTCCATATGTCTGAATAGTTCCTATGGGAGTGTAATAAACTATGCATTCAAGACAATGACTTCTATGTCTGCAAGGTGGTGAATCTCCTCTTGGTTTTGTTTCATATTTTCAAGGAGAATTCTCCAAGGGGCAGAACCTTATCCCAAAATAGGTTCAGCCCCTTGGATGGTTCCTTCAAAATCCAGAACTAAAACCTGGAATGAAGTCATTTGCCCCACTGACATGAAACCCCCCCAGCCACCTCTAACTGAGAAATAGCAATAAAAGCAGGAGGAACTGGAAATGTCCAATAAACCCGATATCAAAAAGATCCTAACTCTTAATGTGTACAAAAAAAGATTTTATTCCACAAATTACCCCAGTCCTTTCGGTCAAGATGTGTTTTGTGGCATTCTTCAGGTGGGAAAAACAATTTGAAAGGCAACCTGCAGAGTCTGTTTCCTACATCACTTCTCCAAAGCTTGCATCTGGCAACTGATCAGATGGGCTATTTTGTGGAATGAATCCTTTTTCTGGATACATCCTAAAACTCAGTATCTCTTTCAGATAGAGGATAGCAATGCCATAGATTGCAGTGCCTGCAGTCTCACCTTGACTCACAGAAGCCATAATAATTTAGTCTGTGTATGTTCTCCCTCTATTTTTCTTCCTCTTTCTCCCTCTCCCAAATCTATTTCAGATTCTCTTCTACCCTATATAGAGAGGTATGCACATACATAGAGAAAGAATCACAATGACAGGCATTTTCCAAAGCCATGCCAGTAGATGGGATTGTCAGTCAGAGTGGAATAATTTTGGTGACAGCAGTCTTGTGATCCAACCTAAATGTTCTGCTTCCCTTCCTTTCCTCTGTCTCTCTCGACACGCGTGTGGAGTGTTGTAATTTTAAAATCTTGATGTTCCTGCAGCTGTGGAGCCACCTCGTCTTCATCTTTTTTATCTCTCAAGTAACAGGCTTTAGATCTTTCTCCTTAGACCTCCTGGCATTAGCAGGACCTGCTTCCCATCCTCATTAGTTATGATCACATCCACCTGCCTCTGACCAGTTTCTCCAATCAGCACGTGCATCCGCTTGGCAGTTGTGCTTTTCTTTTTTTCGTTTCTGTCTTTGCTCTCCTTATCGCCTGCAAGAAGCTGGCCTTGGGCCGCCGCTCCAATAAGCTTGCCTCAGTTGTCGTTGGCATACCATCACATGCTGTGAAATCAAAGCAGCCAAACTGTTTGACTTTCGCATTCCCAGTTTGGTCGTCTTTTGCATCTGTCGCTTCCAGATTTTCATCACCACCGTCTTTATAATTTTGTTCCTCATTTAGCCATAATCCTAAGTGATGCTACCACCATCCTTGCGAATTATGAATTGCCTTTGGCATTGCCATCAATGATATGTGTCAGAAGTCAAAACTTAAACCCGGAGATCGTTGGTACCAATTTCCCTTGATTTCCCCCTTCCCTCCCTGATATGAAATTTGTACTTTTGTTCTTTTGGAGAATATCACTTATACATATTTACAAACTAAGCAAAACATGAATTTAATACCTTTCTGGCAGTCGGTAATTTTTGCTGCTTAGCTTCAAAGTACTGTGTACTGTATGCTTCAGGACTATCCAGAGATCTGGATTCTCACTTCACTTCATCTATAGCCTCCTTGCCTACTCCCTGCTTTCTGCTTCCATCTTGTGCCTCATTCTCTCTTGGATAGCCAATTGCAAATAAACTGTACTTTATTTGCATACAATGACCAGATTCATTGCTCTGAAACTAGCATACAGTACAGTGCGCATTGCCTCTTGCAAAGGACTGCCAGTCAGAAAATCCCATTGCATGTTTTTATAATTGTGGCCCGCCATCATTTTACGGGGCCAGCTTGGATAACAGTACCATACAGGTATACATATTCTCCAAAGAAGACTGATCTGCATGTTTTGTTGTCTGGTGATGTTTGTATTGAAATGGTGTCTCAGTTACTTGGTGTTTGCAATGAACCGGAGGCTAGAGAACCATCAAAACATTTGTTGGTGTGTGGTACATAGTCGTATATGTGTCTGGCTTTCTTTTCTTAATTCTTTAGGATCTTCCTTAAGGATCCAGTACCGGTGAGATGGGAATATCACCACTCCTGGAATTTTACATCTCATTAAACAACCAATAACATATAGCAAACTTGAACTGAAATGGGAACATTGTGATGGTTCAAATGAATAAATGACCAAGTGAGCTTGAAGGAAAAAATTGTAGTGGAAGCTATATTTATATTATATTCCAACATTTTGTCCTCACAAGTAAGGGCAGATAATTTCCTTAGTTTTCTTCTCACTGCAGGAAAAGCAAATATTTCTGCAGAGTTCTCATTTGATATTGTATATCCTAGGAAATTACACTACATGGAAATACATTTATTCATATATGCAAATGTATTTGTATACAAACCAACAGGTTGGCAAACACAAAATATACATGACTTTGTGTAATTTCCCAATCCTCATTTTCAGACAAAGAAATCATGTATTTCTGAACGGAATACTTTTCCAAAACATTTCTGAATATGCGGATATTAGACAAAACCTGTGAACAATTATTTCCACCTTGGCTTCCCTAATGTGAAGTAACCCATTTAGAGGGCCGGGGGATGAATAATAGTGAATATTTTTTCCATACTTAACTTATACATTAACAGTAGTATATTTGATGTGTATAGAAATGAGTGACTACGGTAACCCCAGATGATCCAGTTGTACATATATGCAAAGGTGAATTGATGGCTCTGTGTGCCATTCAGAACCATGTGATGTAAGCATAATCCTGCTTTGTACACAAATATCCGGTGTACACCTGGTTGTTGCATGGAAATTGATACTTGAACAGATTAAAAGCAGTAATAAAGAGATCAATCCCATCTATTTCATGAAAGAGGCTATGGATGAGTTGGTATGCTTTGTTTTAGCCTAATAGTGCTGCCAGGTCTAGGAATTGAATTGTACTTATTTTTATTGATTGGTTAATTGAAATTGCATGCCATTCCATATTACAGATGGAAATATGATAGATAATGCATGCATTACAGCAGACTCCCTCTTAGAGAAGGCATCTCTTCTAAGATAGGGCCCAGCAATCACATTACTTTTAAGTTCTGGTTAATTAAGTCTGCAGAATAAGAGAGAGAGAAGTAA